CCCCAGCTCCCTTACGCGGCTTTCTGTCCGCCCATCATTTTGTCCATCTTCCCTATTTAGATCGCAAGGTATTTTCATGCCAAGGTACTGATTTCTAACGGCCCGACGCAAAAGAGGCCTTTGGAGCTATTGTAATAAATAACGAGGAGAATAATTATGAGTAAAGTGAGAAGAATTTGGGCCACATTCAAGGGAGCAGACAAATCCACGTCGCATTGTTTGAACAGCCTCACCTCCCAGACTAGCGCACTCGTGAACAAATAGTAGGCATAAAATAAATTACCAACTCCTCCCCCCAAAGCACACACCTTGATTTTTTTTTTTTTTCCCTTTAAAATAAAACAAACCGCATGAACGATCGCAAATATTTATCCCCGCTGTCCCTGTCTCCGAGCGGGTTGGGTTCAGTGAACAGATCTGATATCACGCGGAATTACCTTGGATAATTTAAGGTTTGATGTACCTTGTGAAACATCTGCCCCGAGGCTGCTCCTACGAGCAGCCTCAGCCAGGCCGGCCTGAGGATCATCATCAGAAACTCATCCTGAGAGCAGGCCTACAGCCTTCCAGGTCTTTAAAAAAAAAAAAAAAAAAAAGTTTATGGAAAATGCTCCTGTTGTTAAGATTTCGATGCTGCACTGTAAGAAAGGGAGGATGAACTTCACCATCCGGCTGCACTCACAATTCAAAATCGTTGCAAAGCAAATCCTACAGCTAAAAGCACATCAATGAATTTTTTTTTTTTTTTAAATTGTGGCACTTACAGTGCCTGAAATTGTACATTTTCGTGTCCTCTTACACAGCACCCAAACCCGAACTCTTATTTTGCATCCATCTGCCCGGCAGATACAACGCTGAGCAATTCCCACAACCGCTCTTTTGCAAATAACACAATTTGTTATAATTTGCGGAGTGGAAGTTCTGCAAAATACGTGGGGCTTTAAGGAGGAACTGGATGAACAAGCCGCAGGCCCCAAATTTTCTACTTTTTTTTTTCCCCCAGCTACTAGAAGGGAATCACCTTTCTCTGCAAAAATGCTCCTCGCTTAATGAGTGGGTTGGGGTTTTTTTTGCACCAGGGACAGCCTGTTAGAAAACTGTAACTGTAAGAAACACAGATTATTTCTAGAGTTGCCTATTTTAAAATCATTTATATAAATGTCTGTAAGTAGTTTCAGAAACTAACAACGTATCTACCTCATTCAGAGGTCCTTCTAATCTTTTTATATAAAAGTGAAACGCATTTTTAATGGCTTCTTTTGCTTATTTTTACACATCGGATAGCTTGATACCGGACACTGTTTCGGCCGGGCAACTCAGAAAAAGGACGACAGTTCAACTAGTACAAATTTTTCCTCACGTTTCCTCCATGAAGAAGGAAACAACTTCACCCGCTGATTTAAAATTCTTCACCGGGATAGGAATCATTTTGCTTCGCCGATTAATCACCGTTTTGACGGGAAAGAAGAGTTCTAGCCGAATTTTGCCCGTTACCGGTCCCTCTGTGAAGTTCTCGTTGCGTTTTCCCGACTCGAACAACCGCGACGAGAAAAAAAATAACCAAATTTAAACTCTTCGCCCCCTGGAACCTTCAGGAAAGATGGCAAACGGGGAAATATTTTAACATAAAAAGGGCAGCAAACGAACCCCGCGGTTAAACGGGGGGCTGCGGAGGTTACAGAGCGCGCAGCTCCCGCGGGAGGGCGCGGAGCCTCCGCGGGGCTCAGGGCACTGCTAAGGGCTGGCAGACCCCAGTCTCAGTTTGCTCCCGCAAACCCCGCACCCCGCCCTGAAGATTAATTAGATTAATTAATGAACGTTTTGGTTGTTTTTTTGTTTTTGTTTTTGTTTTTGTTTTTTTTTACCAAAACTCTCGATGCATTTTAAACCCAAACACTTCTTTGCTTTTTCAACACCAACTTTTTTTAAAAAAAAAAATCTATTACACTTTGATATTTGTTTTTTAGATTTTTCCCCGGGGGTACCGGGCTCGACGCCTCCCCAACCCCCCCACCCCGGCCCCGGGAAAGAGGGGGTGACCCTCACGCCGTTGCGGGAAGCCCATCCCCGCAGCCTCTGGCCTTCCCGCGGCTGCAGGGTGTCCGAGCGGGGGAATTAGCCCCAGCAATCTCCGACTCGCTCACTTCTCATGACACTTAATATTCAGGAAATCCACAAAGTGGTACGGAGAGAGTGGAAAACGTGACATCACGGGCTAATTGGGAAGGAGCATTAGGGCTGAGGGAATAGCTCAGTCCTGAGTAATACGTTATGTTTAATGGCTGACTAAAGCTTCATCAGCATTTAAACACGTATCCCTCTAAAAATGATTTTCGGCATCCACCTGGCCTCATCAGACAGTTTGACTACTTAATTATCCCTGAAAGCCACGTTTAGAGGATGCAATTAGGTTTGAGTGAGGGCTGCAGCCCCTTTATTTCCCTGTCATATGAGGGGCATCACCAACAGCTCTCACGAACTAGGTGTCCCCCCGTGTCTTCCAGAGCTTTACAACCATGAGGAAACCATCCTCTACAACTGCTATCGTCTCAATATTTAATTTATAGCCGATCGAACAGCCCACAAGACCAGAAGCTCCCCACACGTGCAATCTCCCTCCCCACTGCCCACACTGGGGACAACACGCACCCGAGGGTCACACACCTCCTCTGTCATGGGCGACCACTTACCCACCCATGCGACTGCAGCACCTTTCCCTGGCATCCTTTTATTTTGCAGAACACCAAAGAGCACAGAGAGAGTTAAGACACTCACTGCAAAAGCCCCTCTCTCTTTTTTTTTTTTTTTATATATAGGATTTAAAAATTGTCTTTATTTATTAGTTTTTTTTTTTTTTCCCTAGTTGACAGGCAAGGGGTGCGATGTGATTAGGTTTCTCCTGTATTTCTAGATTTCGCAGGATTTCTCCTGACAGCCTCTCCTCTGTGAACCAATTCCTCGTTATGA